CTGCTCTCCTCTCACACAGACCTGCTGCTCACGCTGGGTCTGGGAGGTCCCTCTTTTCAGTGCTGATGGCCCGTGTCTAAGCTGCTATGACACACTTCAGCGTCCCTTAGCCCCCCAGGATGGGTGCAATGCAGGAGGCCCCTCAGATACCCTGACATACTCTAAAAGACATCTGCCAAACTCCAACAAACTTCAGAAGTGAAGAAGTCCTGCATGGAGAAGATCTCAAACGGTAACCCATCACATAGTCATATGTTCCTCATTAATGTAAGCTAGAAGAGTTCTTTGGAGTGACTTTCCTGAAAGAACATGTCAATGGATGGTTCTTTAAAGAAAATTTTATTTCTTAGTGCAAGTGTGCATAACATTCACAATAACATAAGTCTAAAGGTCTTCGCACTAGGAATATCTAATCTGCCCTCCTTCCTGCATTTGAAACGAACCGCCATCAGGGGACTCCCCAGCGCCATCTTGAGGGCCATTCCATAGCCTGCTAAATACTGCATGCGTACTAACTGTGCCCAAAAGTAGTAATTAGTATGCAGTGACCAGCATAAATTTCCTCAGTCCTGAGTACCACTCAGACCAAATATTGCCGAGAGCTATTTTTGTGATATAATGCTTCCCAAAATGCAATGTTTTCATCAGCTTTCTCTGCTGGTCTATGCTGGTTACTGTGTAATAAAGTCGGTGCAGGAACACTTAGGAGTCTCTGGAAACCACACACTAAAAAACAAAATCCTCCATTTTGTCATAGCATCTTTCAAAACTCAGCAGTTGTATCTTTTGACCAAAATAGCCTATATCAATACATGCTGCTTAAAACCTGGCCTGAAAACAGCTGAAAAAAGCAGCAAGTAATGGTTGCTAAGCTAAAATTTGGAAGGCTGCAGAAAATGGGACGGGCCTTACATCTGATTGGTTCTGTCCCAGATGTTGATAGTCTAATTGCACCCCTGCCCTGCAGTACAGCGCACAGCTTCTGTTGTATAGTGGATACCGTGCTACTATCAAGAGCGGCATCAGAGACGTAATAAATGAAGAGACAGGTCACTGGGTTAATAATGAATGGTAAAGCTCATAACACTCAACATGGCATCTGTCTGCAGAGAAAGTCCTGCCCTTCAAGAAAAAGAGCCAACCAACTTGCTGGTTTTGCTGCAAGTTGGAAAAGCCCCCCTCAGTGTTGAGGTCTGTGCAAGCGCAGTAGCCAGAACAACCTAAAAAACATGTGCATTATGGAGCCAAATGTTACAAACTATTAATGAGATTTTTTATTTTATCTGTGATTTTAAACATTTTTTTAAACATTAAGTGTTTAGGTCCTCTCTCCTTTTGAAAAGATAAGAGCCTGGCCTTGTGTGGATGGAAATAACTGCCCATTAGTGCTGCAAAGATGGCCACCAGTATACAGTATACTAGTGCAAATGCATAGAAGTATGTCATTTAAAATGCACTTCATTACTTTCTTAGCTCAAGTTAAGCACGTTAGGGCCCTCTGAGGAGCGAGGGATTGAGTAAACACAAGCGTTTACCAGCAGAACTTGCCCAGAATCATTGCAACCTGACATATTTCCCTTTTCAAACCTGAAAATAATTGCGAATAAAGCCGCTTAGAAGCCATAGCCATAAACAACTTTAAACTCCTTAATACTTTAAACTCGTAACATTCAATTTGCTTTGCTAGGTTTTAGGTTACAAACGGCTCCATCTGTTATACATGACTGCTGTTTAACTTCAGTTTCATCTTCTAGCTCGCTAGTTAGCATGCCAAAGGCTACATGGCTAAAACATCATGCGCTACAGCATGTTAACAGCCAGACAAAGTAATTATTCACAAATTTGCCTAGCTGACTTGCTGATTACTTCACTGAGACTAACCTGCTGAAGCTGAGTATGTTCCAATTGTATAGTCCTCTCCTAACTCCTCCCCTCCTTCTGACATGTCTAGCAACTTGTGTAACATAAGTGTGACACACATCTAGGTGAGTCAAATTGAGCAAGGCCATTTTAAAAAGGCCAAAGCTTGCTGTCTGTGTGTTCTGCTTCCTTTAGCTCATCGGTTCTTTTGATGTGCTTGCTCTGCAGTGCCACACAAACAGTACAGAAGAAAAAAGCTTCACCTTTTTCCAGCGTGACTGATTTCCTCTGGTGTTCAGAGTGGACTGGGGTTTTCTAGCACCATTTGAAATCGGTCGGGCTGAAAGGCATGCCATCCCCTGCAGACGAGGAGGGCTCTGCACAGCTGTGGTCACACTTGGACAGAAGTGGTAGAACTTTTGATTTTTGATGTGGATTGAAAATAATAACAGCGGTAAACATTCAAATTCAAACTGTTTACTCCAGATTAGAGCATATGTCATGTTCCATTCAGTTCCAATTAAGATCTGTTCTATGTAACTGGAAATGCATGCAGTTAAGGCGGTCCAATAATGCATTACAAAAGCTTTATGGAGTGGGTTAGAATGATTAATAAAATAAACATAACTTAACTGAAAATATATTGTATTTGTTTTTAAAGATGTGACTATTCCTGATATCTACACTTTGCATCATCAACATACTACAGTGTGTTTCAGAATACCTTTATTCCAAAATTAAATTCACAACTGAAACAGGTGCATTCCTCATAACTGACAGTACAGTGTAAAAGGAGGCCATGGATATTGTAAAAAAAAAAATACTAATCTCAGCAGGAAGCGTGTTTTACAGGTAAAATGTGGTAAACAACCACATAAAGTTACAGTAAATACAAATAAACATAAATACAATTTTTATTTTTAAAAATGTTCTTAATGTCTTAGACAGAAGAATACACCTAGAAAACCACAGGTTTGGTTCGTGACTATTTGGTGCACTTGTTAAGTTCCATCAGCAGCTCACCTGATACAACTTGACTGACTGATTAAGTAAACTAGGTATTGGATTGTAATAGTAAATACTCAACTACCTCAAGGAGAGCTTTGGTAATGATTAAGCTAACATACTAACAGACATACATTATCAATTATTATATGAAATATTTGTGTTATTTTACGGATAATGACATCATACAATATAGATTTCATTTTCTTTTTTACTAGAGCAAATAACCTGGAAAATATGTAGAACATAATCTGCTTAGCAACCTGTTTGTTGTTAGGTGACAGCTTGTTCATGCGGCTCTGTCCCCACGTCTGTACTCTATGCACCATAACATGGTATCAGAAGTGGGATTCCATGCCCCCACATCTTTACTCTATGCACCATAACACCTGTGTGTGTATGTATATCTGTCTGTACAGTCCATCTGTTTCTCTGCATACTTTGTTAGCCCCCTTTTACCCTGTGCTTCAGTGGTCAGGACCCCCATGGACCCTCACAGAGCAGGTACTATTTGGGTGGTGGATCATTCGAGCACTGCAATAACACTGACAATGTGGACAATGAGTGGACACAGTGTTTAAAAAACTCCAGCAGCACTGCTGTGTCTGATCCACTCAGACCAGCGCAACACACACTAACACACGATCACCACATCAGTGTTACTGCAGTGCTGAGAATGATCCACCACCCAAATAGTACCTGCTCTGTGAGGGTCCATGGGGGGTCCTGACCACTGAAGAATAGGGTAAAAGGGGGCTTACAAAGTATGCAGAGAAACAGATGGACTACAGTCTGTAATTGTAGAACTACAAAGTGCACCTATATAGTAAGTGGAGCTGATAAAATGGACAATGAGCGTAGAAACAAGGAGGTGCTCATAATGTTATGCCTGATCGGTGTATATATATAAACAGTGGAACTGTTTGAATGGATGACTTTACATAAAGAATCATCTAGATAAATCATTATCTCTAAGAGCTGGGTAACAACACTAACTAGTATTTAAATAACATAATTAGATGAAAAATCTTTCTGAATAAGTGAAATATAATAGTATGTCCTACTTTGCCAGGTAGAATAAATCAATACCTTGCCAGATGGAAGCCAGTATTGTAGCCATCTCTTGATGGTTATATTTTTAGCTCTGTCCCTGAAAGCAAGCATAACCACTCTGAGCCACGGAATTCACTGTTATTAACATCTTAAGAAACTGTTGTTTTCGCTATGAATAGGACTGCACTCAGTGTGCTGTAGTGAGAGGTAGGCTAAAGTGAGTATATTGATCTGTATATTGGAATGTTAGCACAATGCCGTACTATTATCATCTATATCTAAATAATGAAGTAAGCAATACCCTTGACCTGAGCTCATGACAATGCCTGGTACTGCTGGCAAACTCTAAATGAACTCAACGCTGGATACAATCGATTCTACAGCTGTGCTGTGTTAATGGGCTTCATGTCTTCATGCTTCACGGAATGGGATCCAAAGATTGTTCCAGTGTTATTTTAGTTCACCACTTAAGCTTCACATCTCCTTTGACTTAAGCACCTTTGAATCTTTTAAATAAGACACAAAAAGATTTTTTACATGTATTGAATATAAAACTGATATATTTAATATAGAAATATGTTTTATATGTATTCTGGCAATTCTATTTACAGTTTATCTACCCCAACATTTCATTACCACTTTTCAAATACAAGACATTCTGAATGTTCTCGATGCTATATAGCTGTCTCAGACATTATAGAATCATCTTAAGCTCTGTTCATCAAATGTTTATGCTGCTTTTACAGTTTTCTACTAATTATTTAAAACACAACTATTATAATTCTCACCCTCAACCAAATGAGCACTTAAATTCCATGTATGTGGATGTATAACTATACATCTGTCTGAGAAGATTAAATGCCAATCTTTCATCTTAACATTGCAGATCATTCCTTCCTTCTCTGTCCGATGTTTTTATGTGCTTTTGCTGCTTCGCAAAAGTCGCTTTAGGATTTACAGTGAAGGACTGGGCTGACGGCTCCAGAGTCAATGATTAAACACATACACACACATACACACTCTGCTTCCTGAAAGAACACACATTGCCGAGCTGTCCCTGAGCAGCAGGAGTTGGAGTCGGGAGGGATACCCCTGGAGGAATCAGGTGCTCTTTGTCACCGGGGTAACCGTGTCTCCATGGACATGGGTAAGTCACCCATCGTCCTTTCTGTGCCAACTCAGGATGATCAGTTTGACGTCGAAGGGCTTCGAATGAAAAGCTGAAGACAGAACTGAACACAGCTGTAGTCACAGGTAAGAACACAGAGTTCTCTGTGCTTTGGTTTATCATCACTGTCATAACAAAACCTCATATCTCTTATATGGGAACTTCAGAATAGAAGGAAAAAACATCCTTCAGTTTAAAGTAATTTAATGTAACCACGTTTAGTTACAAGTAATTCTGGATCATTTCTCATCATGACATTTTTAAGAAAATATGGCAGGTGTTTCCAAATGACACAAATAATTAAAAAATGAAGAAAATAGTTCTGAGATTTTATAATGACAGTGATGTTACACTCATATATTGATCTTTGAGTTAGGCCTCACCAAGAGATGGTAAGTGTTATATGAAGACATAGAGACGTATCATCACTGTAACTACGTGGTGAAATTGAACTAATTTAGTCTGTGTAGTAGCACATTAGTGCAAAACTATTGCATAAGTAACAGTAAAAGGAGAAAGTCGCTGAATCCTGTTATCCTTTCTTAGCTGCAGTGCTTCTCTTTCTGTGCCTGAGTGAACTGGTTGCCAACAAACATTAAGGATGACTGACCAGAACACAGACATGCACTGCGTCCAGTCAGGGAGTACATTTGCTTTGGGCGGCTCAAATACTGACTACAGACAGTACCTGCGCAGGTGAGCTACTCAAAACCCCAGCAAAGAGTTAAAAAACCATTAAAAGATATAGAGAAAATGTGACTCCTAACAACTTTACATCTTTGAGTTAGAGGACAGCATCAAGCTCCACTCTTGCTTCAGATCTGAAATAATCCACAGCTGTTTCTGTTCATCCTTCCACTGTAAGAAAACAATTCAACACTATAGGTCTGAATGAATGTGTAGCTGTCTAGAAACTGTTACTGGAAAAAAAGGAAAGCAGAAAATACCACCAACTTTAGTGACGCTTTATTTTGAGTGGTCCTTTTAGATGAAACAAACTCTCAACGGACTCTCAGTAACAGGTCAAAAACATATGAGGGTTAGGATTAGGTTTTGGGTTGAGGTTAAGGTGAGGGTTAGGATTAGGGCCAGGGTGAGGGTTAGGTTTTGGGTAAGGTTGGTAAGGTTAGGTTTTGTGTAATGGAAGTAACATGTTAACAATACATCTACTTAATGTATGTAATGTATCAACAGAACATCTACAAGACATTTACTTCAATGTATTCAGATGCTTCACTACTCCTACTCCACTGATATGTTGTTGATGTGTTACTGATAATTTATTAAGAGTTTATTAATCATCTCCAAATAAAGTGTTACCCCAACTTCTAAGACTGAACTTTGGAGTTGTGGAAAAATATCCCTGCAGGTTTCTTTGAAAAACAGAAAGCAAGTCTCCCAAAAAGAATGGAAACTGTAATAAAAGCAAAGAGTGAACACATTAAATACTGAAAATGTTTATATTTGCTTAATGATGCTTATGTGCAATTTTCCGTTTTATGTTGAAAAGTGAATAACTTATTGGGTGGCAGTTGGACGTTGAAGATGAAGAGTGGACGCTGACTGTTGCGCAGGACTGTGTGTGTGTTTGTGTGTGTATGTGTGTGTATAAAACTGTAAAAGAAGTGCTGATGATGTGATGGATGTGATGGATAAGTGGAGAGTTTGATTACCTCTCTCATCTTCTCTCTCTCTCTCTCTCTCTCTCTCTCTCTCTCTCTCTCTCTCTCTCTCTCTCTCTCTCTCAGTGTATTTGGGGAGAGCACTGCTGAGTACTTCTTAAACCCCTCTTCACTGCTCATAAACAATCCTGCCTGGTACACACAGATGAAAGACAGCATGAAAGGTAATGCGTTCAAAACAGAAAGCGTTCCAGAAATTTAGAGGCCACTTTCTTGAAAAGCACCAGCTATCTGCCTGTGCCTCATGTGCAGCCTGAAGTATGCAAATAGAAGTGCAGTGAGAGTGAGGTAATGGGGTGAAAATAGAGCCAAATAATTTTGTCACAGAATATTTCTATATTTATATACTTATTGAAGAAGGAAAAAGCATTATGATTTGAACAGCATTGACAGGGCTGTGTAAAAAATGTAAAAACGTACAAAAGTAAAGATGACATTCAGGCTTTAGATGGCTGCTAGTAGTGTTTTAGCTATGTAATTTTCTCCACATTTGTAGATAACAGTATGTCGTATAGACACCACAAAAGCAAGTCTACATGAGATTCAACCTTAACAATCCAGTGTGGTTCAAGTCGAGTCTGTGATAATTTACGCAGTTTATACAATACTACTCTGGTGGCTACGCACCCTGACTATATTCAGGGTAATGAGTATGGCCAAAATATAACTTTAAAACTAAAAAACACTAGTTAATGGGAGGAATAAAAATGACTCAACCACTAAAAACAATGTAAAAATCCCTACCCTCACCCAAAAAATGCTTCAGAAGCTTGTAGCATGAATTATTTCATTCAGTAATAATAATTTGCCAGGTAGAATAAATCAATACCTTGCCAGATGGAAGCCAGTATTGTAGCCATCTCTTGACGGTTATATTTTTAGCTCTGTTCCTGAAAGCAAGCATAACCACTCTGAGCCATGGAATTCACTGTTATTAACATCTTAAGAAACTGTTGTTTTCGCTATGAATAGGACTGCACTCAGTGTGCTGTAGTGAGAGGTAGGCTAAAGTGAGTATATTGATCTGTATATTGGAATGTTAGCACAATGCCATACTATTATCATCTATATCTAAATAATGAAGTAAGCAATACCCTTGACCTGAGCTCATGACAATGCCTGGTACTGCTGGCAAACTCTAAATGAACTCAACGCTGGATACAATCGATTCTACAGCTGTGCTGTGTTAATGGGCTTCATGTCTTCATCCTTCACGGAATGGGATCCAAAGATTGTTCCAGTGTTATTTTAGTTCACCACTTAAGGTTCACATCTCATTTGACTTAAGCACCCTAGAATCTTTTAAACTAGACACAAAAAGATTTTTTACATGTATTGAATATAAAACTCATATATTTAATATAGAAATATGTTTTATGAGTTTTATATGTATTCTGGCGATTCTATTTACAGTTTATCTACCTAAAGCTAAAGCTTGTAGCGTGAATTATTTCATTTTCTAAAAATGAAATGAAAGCTGGACCAACATCTCACACATGAGAAGTCCAGCTCATAAGCTGGTTCTCTCATCACACATACTAAACATGCTTCTTCTGTTTTCAGATAACGTAAGTGCAGAGGCATTGTGGGCCGCACTGAGGCAGCACTCTGCTCAGATACTGAAGAAAATGGAGGCCAAACCCTCTCAGGTAGACCCCCCTCAGAAAAAGCAAGCTACAGCACATCTAACTTCCCACAGCTTGAACTTTAACACAGACCACCATCCACACAATCTCCCAATGTTGATTTAGAAATTCAGAATACTCATTTTATCACTTGAACCCTTATTTTTTATTTATTAACATTGGGACTTATTATTATATTAACCTATTATATTATATTATATTATTACCTCATTCCTATTGTCTTATTACCTTAGTAACTGAGTTTTATTGGACAGACTAATATGTAAGCCACACTCTTAAAAAAGTGGTCCTTCAAGGGTTCTCTAGTAAAGGAAATGATTAGACCCTATATATAGAACCGTGACAACTCAAAGAACTATTTGAATGCACTAATAGCAATTTTGTATGTGAAAATGTGTGATTATACTGAAAATATTGACATCCAAATGAATATTCAAATATCTGCTGCTGGAACATCATGGTTACATATAGCACAAAAAGGGTTCTGTTATCGTTACAATGTCAAGCTTGTAATGATAGAAGAACCCTTTTTTGGTGCTATATAGAACCATTTTCAAAAAGGTTCTATTTATAACCATATACAACACATCTTCCATTAATCTGAAGAACCATTTCTCCTGCTCTTCTGCTCTTTCTCATGCTCTTTAAGCATGAAATGGCTCTCTTTAGAACTCATGGTTCTACACAGAACTATTGCCCTTATTAAAGAACCCTTGAAGAACCACCTTTTTTATGTGTATATATTTAATCAGTATGGGCCTCTCAGTGAATCATGTCAATGCTTTGATTAATCAAAACATCCAGAGAATCACCCATCAAGGAACATTTGTGATAAGTTAGACGGATCGTTTGCATATCGCTTCCCTTTGCAAAGGCCTTAATAGACCTCTGAAGTGTGTTGTCATTCTGCGGTCGGTGTCATGCTCATATTAGAAACTCTGGGTCTAAGTTGGCCGTTCACTGATTGAAAAGGTGATAGAAAGGCTTGCAATGTTCAACATGGTGTCTGCTTATGTCCCTGTTTATGGGTTCATTAGAAGGAGCCAATCAGCTTCCACGTAAAGCCGCAATTGGGAACAGCTCCCCCTCCTTGTGGAGATATGCGCATGCACAGTAGCCAGAACAAGCTAAAAAACACACAATTTTCTGAATTATTTGAGCCAAACAGTATAAAACTATGCCATTTTGTCAGATTTCACCAGTGATTTTAAACATGCCTTTGAAACATTAATGTGACTTTAAGTTTCCGATTCATAATCAACCCTTATTCTTAGAGATAGGAGCCTGCTCACATGCCAAGATGTCCGCTGAGTGGACAGACTTTAATATAAGGACCTTGGTTGCGTCCTGTGGTAAACTAAAATGCTGAAACATTTTACTGCACAGACATTTTTCCTCCAAAGGTCACCGGATCCTCTGAATCACAAAGTCGTTAAGGAGCCAAAATACTTCTATTGCTACATGCAAGCTAACACTTGCACTCTGAAATTGGCTTCTTAAGACTGGCAACCTCACCAAAATATCCCACACCAACCAGCAAGCTTTGCCAAATGTGCTAGTGAGACTTTGTTCATATAATAGTGTTGAAATTTAATAGCATTTCAGTGTGCAGGAGTGTTAGCTTGCTTGCAGCATGTGTGTAGCAGTACACATATTTCGGACATCAAAATTGAGAGAATCCTGTGACATTCATGGAGGAACATGTTCACAGGACACAGGCGCAATAGCAGTGATTATCAAAAACGCCATTCATTTCCATCATAGAGAAAACAAGCTAATGATGGCAACTTCACAGATCTACTGCAAATAATGAACAGTAAACAATATATTGTGCAACCATGCATTAGTATCTTATAAGGCATTGATGTACTGTACCTTAGCAGGCTGAGAAGCTGTCAGCTGATTGGGAGGGGCTAATGAGACAGGACCACCTGCTGCATCTATCAGGAATCAGGCTGATGTTCCGCTTGGCCCAGCGTAACCAGGCCTACACTGCCCTCCTCCTGCAACACAGGCCTCTGTCTCTACTCTGTGACCCAGACATGACTGAGGGACCCAGGCAATATCTCCCAGAGAAGAACATGGACTGACAGAACAGTATAGATCTCACACAGCAGCGCTAAAAGCCTGGTTCATGTATGAATTATAAATAGTAGGCTGTGATTTGCACAGTAAAAATAGTACTTATGAAATATTATTTGCTAATAGATGCACAGATGTTTGGATGCTTCCACCCTACTGTTTTTCACCTTAGTAAGCTTCAGAAAATTCAGAAAGCACACTATTAAAAATGTCAGGAACATTTTAGCTTGTTCCTTTAAAAGAACCCCTTTAAATGTCAAGAGGCTTGCCACTCAATAAGCAAGTTGTAAGTTGTATTAAAATAGTCACAAACACCCATGAAGGGCTCAGCGTACCCTAATAAGAGTGAATCATCTGTTCTTACACCAACAACAGCTTAGCCTTGACAGCACATGTGCTAGCACTTCACTTCCACAAGGGGGCAGTAGGTTGTTGATTAGGTGAGTAAGAGCCATTCATTTAATTTTTCTCACTTATTTGAACTCTATTGTTAACTCTATTTGTCACCACATAGACTTATAATTCATGGTACTATCATTAACTCTTCACACGCCAATAACTCTTTCCTGGCCAGTCAGAGTTTATTACAGCTTTAGGGCTCTCCCATTATGTAAAAATGGATTCAGAAAACAGGTGTCGGGTATCAAAGAAAGCAATGTGATCCTAATCCTGTTCTCTACTAATCTGTAGTGTTTATAGTGCAGTTTTTCACCACTGTTGGAATGCTTTCCTCAGTTTATTTTGGCAGGTTTAAATTCTGCGGAAAGATAAAGTCATTTTGAATATAATTCATTATGATCTAATTTTTCATTATGATCTAACTCTGCTAAAAACTAATTTTCAGAAAATGTATTTTTATACAACAGGCCTCTTTTTTCATGGACTATTTTCATAGATTAAATAGAAATGTCTTAGCCCCTTACCACGCCATGGGCCTGCCAACAGGCCCAAAGATTTATAACGCTTCTATAACCTAAGAAAAGCTCCATTAGTCTGCATTGAAGTCCCTGTAGTTAATGAATAATAAGCCTTAGTATGTAATAAGCCTGGAATGTTAAGGGGTTAATTTGCTTTCAACAATATTAAACTTTCCATTAGTATTTTCAAGTTCTGATGCACAGCAGAATCAGCCATTTCTATGCTCCAAATATGCGATCGGCAATCAACCAATTTATTATTAATGATATTGACTGATCTGTGTTGCAATTTTATGATGTAAAGAATGTGAGGCAGATAAAAGCACTTGTGCTGTATTTGAATGCAGCTTCTACACCTGTAACAACATGTCTTAGCATAATTATGCAGTCACCTCATACTTTTAGTTATGTTATTTCCTGTAAGTTAAATCCTCTGATTTATCAAAAATTCTGCTCAATTCAATTGTTGAGATGTAAACATTCAGTCATTGAAGTCATTCAGAGTGGTCTGATGTGAAATGATTCATTGGAGAAAAATCTTACTGACTGATTTCTTTACAGTGGTGGTGCTAGGAATCAGGGGCCACCATGTCTACAACACAAATATAGCCATTTTATTTACTATTCAAAATTATCTGTGGGCCTCCACATATCTTCTGAGTTTTTAAATGTAATGTTGATAATATTATAATAATATAGTAAAGTTGTGGGAAATTTGGGGAGAAAATATTCTTTGTTAACTGTTTCCCCTTACAACACCCTGCATGTATCACTTCAAAATATACGTTTTGGTTAAAACCTTCTCAAAACAGAAAATATATGTCATGCCTTTGCATAGGCCACACATTTATTTCCTATGTCTTCAGCCAATAAACAGTACTAGTGCATTAAAATGTGCAGAAGTGTGTTCTCTGTAGAGGAAGTGTCCTTTTTTCACTTAAAAATCAAACATGCATTTGAATTGAAATAAAGAGCAAGTATTATGGTCGTCTATTTCAGAATATATGGATGCACTGGTTACAGATGCATTGGTGATTTAGCTGTAGCTTTGACTCTGTTTGTAGTAAATTTCTGTAAGATTTAGACTAAAGACAGGTTTTTCACACGTCTGTACAGTTTTTGCTGTTTCAGTTGCAATTCTTTATTTTTAGTTAAAGTTACATGTTGTTATTATGCAGCAGGTTGAACAAGATTACTGTCATTTCCGAGAAATTTCTGTAGGCTTTTCCACCTGGGGTTATACTAGTATGTTCGTTCCAAATGTACCAATTTTGCAGTTTTGAAACATGAATCCTGGAAAGTTCGAGTGAAGAACCCCTTACTGGCACCAAAGACAGTGACTGAAACAGTGTGCAAGGTGGATTCAGGTACCATGGGCCTTTAGGTGATTTTGGTCAGAAAAAAACTATGCTTTTGTTCAATGTCCCACTAAAATGTCCAACTTTTGTAATTTAATTAGCCCATTTGCAGTCTTTCTTTTTCTCATTTAGAAAGAATGTAGTAGTAGACATCACCTGAAACTGGAAGGAACAAGACTTTCTATGTGTCCTCTTTTTCCTGATGGCCCTTAACCTGTGTGATTCATGGACACTGGACTGCACTGAAAACTCCTCTTTGCTGCGTTGTGATTTTTGCCCACCCGTTTTCCGACAAGCTCCGCCGTCTGCGCTACGATTGGTTTGTAGTCGGATAGCTTAGGTCCGAGTAACCAACCAAACGCATCGAAAAAACCCTAAAGCCAATCGTAGCTGTAGGAGGCGGAGCTTGTCGGAATACGGGTGGAGAAGAGCAGCGACGCCTCCCACCTCACGACTACTCAACTAAGCATGAAGTCAAAGAAACTTCCCAAACGGCGGGACGCGCCGCTGGAGGTAACAGGTTCAGTTGTGTGGCTTCAGCCGAGCAGGTGAGAAACACTGTACATTTACTTCCATCAAATCCGCTGTGAAAATGAATGCATTTCAGTCAGTTCTGCTGACTTTCCACTCAAGCGTTTTGCACCTCACAGCACAGCTTATTAGATGTTGAACAGACGTGGGCAGTAACTAGTCACGTTTACCCACTTCAAGCAACTTAAGTTGTAAATGATTCTTTCATTTATACTGAAGTATGTTTGTTAGGATTCTCTCGTCTTACTTCCTAATTCCATTTTTGTCTTAAGTCCATTCTGTTCTGTTGCTTCAGCACCTGTCCTGCTTTGCTGTTGGTCACAGCTCTCACGTTTGGGCTTTAGCATTTAACCTTAGGATCCCAAACAATAGAGAAATAGAGCCTAAAAACTTCAGTTCAGGTTTTGATATATGCTGGTAAAAGATACTGCAGTTGTGCAGGGAATTCAGTCCTTTTTACCTGATACTTTTCCGCTCCTAGCTGTTGTTTTTTGGCAGCTGTTTCTACATGAGTCATTATTCCAAGTGAGAAGACTTTGACGGGAGTGTGGCTCCTCTACCCACCTCTGCTCTTGAATTACAGTGAATAACAGTGACAGATATTACACTGGACTGATGAACCCAAACTGGGAGTTTTTTCCATAAGCAGTTGTTTTTGTTTCATGCACAGGTTTTAACTGGCCTTGTCTTTTTGTTTTGTCTCTGTGAGAAAGAGCGGACTCTTGGTGTTCAATGACGGTGGTGCCATACATTCATCCTCACAGGGCTTATAGATAGGATATCTATAGACAGATAGATAGATAGATAGATAGATAGATAGATTAATGGCCTGATAGATACAAGCAGGACATTTCAGATATATTCTTCAGCTGTGCAATCAAAACATTTCTGAGGAACCTATTATGAAATTTTACCTCTCATTATCTACAGTGCCCTGGAGCTCTTACGAGAAAGATTATCTTCTAGATCGTTCTCCACTTAACTCCTTATACTGTTTTTACTTCACAACCCTCATTCTTTTTCATTCATTCCCAGTTCAGTGCTATACTACTGTGTAGCTGCACTGTGTAGCCTCCAGTAGCAGTCCGTGATGATGGGGGCGATGATGAGTGAGATGTTTGCTTTGTCTGTTTGTACAGATGGATTTTGGAAAGATCACACAGTTACTCAGCTTATTAATGTGAAACCTGCATGATATATGCAGTGTACACTAATGCTGAAATATATGCAGTTAATCTAATGCGGCTTGAATGAAATGCTAATTTGTTCCAAATTAAAGTTTTCACTGTGCATTTTTCCATGAACCAGGCTTTACTTAGAACAGTGGACCAAACTCAGCTTTGTCCCTTAGAATTAAACATGCTGATTTTGTTACTACTTTTAATATGAATATAAATGAGCTCTGCTCTGATAGACTACCTTGTATTGCGTCTCATTCAGAAATAGAGGTGGGCAATATGACAATATTTTATCATTATTGTGATAAATTATATTATTGTGATACAAAACACACGCCTCTAAACACATTGTGGACATCATCAGTACCTAAAAAACAAACAAAAAAAAATGTTCCATTAAAAAAAAGCATAATTAGTCCTGTTTAACTGGTTTTAGTGCAGTGCAGGATGTGAAATGTTGAATGAAGACCACTCTGTCCAGACATTTTGATGGCTGTTTTTAATAGAGCACTACTAGTGTGTTATGTCTGTGGGCCAAAATAATGTGATACATACATTTGTGATTGTGATATGATTATTTTTGTCCTATTTCCCACCCTATTCAGAAAGCAGCCTGGGCTGAAGCACTTCTTAAAATTTTAACATAAATGGGCAGAGCTGAACAGCTGTATGTATGAATAGGTGGCTATAATAGTGCATAAATGTGCAAATTATGTTGTAAATGTTTACATCTTAGATCAAACAAAATGTGAAAAATTTGGTTTTCCATGATATGGGCACTTTAGAGTACCCCCTGTGTTGTTATTGTTCTTAGAACTATGAAATGCTATTAGCTGCTGGTGCGTCTTGGAAAAGATGAAAAGATGAACTTTCATGTTTGGTCATTCTTACCATTTGTGTCATGAGGTGTATGAACTTTGTGCATTTATTTTTGCCTTGCTATATTTGCTTGTTTTTGCAGGCAGGCATGGTAAGGGTGGGCGATATGGCAAAAATATTATATCACGATACTTGAGGACGTTTTCACGATACCTGATATACATCACGATATTTCGTTTTTCTAAGATTTAATAAACTGGAACAGACAAAGTAGAACCTGTAGTGCCACATATAAAATACTTTAATACTACTACTACTACTAATAACAATAATAATGATAATAATAATGATAACAAACCTAGAACTACAAAGATTTTTATTCAGTGTTTTACAGACTGCACTGTAAGCTGTTTTGTAATGAAACGTAGTTAGTCAGTGTTAGTCAGCACTGACGATATCTACAAGATAAGTGTATTGTGGCATAATGTATCATGATAACAATAAAATATTGTCATATTGCCCACCCCTAAGGCACGGTACATATTATTTGGAGCATATCTCAGTTCATATCTTCACAGCATGGTAGTAAATGCATTTTGAGGCTGTTGCTGTGTCTGTAATTCTATTTCTGGGATTAGATGAACTCACTGCACATTTACCTGGACATGTGTCCTTAAATGATGGTGGCTGTTGTTGCTGACCCTGGTCATCTCTTCATCACTGCAACCCTATGACGCAATTACCTTCACTTTCACTTCTCTCACTATCAAGAATCTGAAAATTGCTACAAAGAGTGATACTTAGATTTGGATATAAACCTTGCTAAAGCATACTTCCTCTATAATCCTTAACTGGTCACTAGGTCACAATGTCACGTTTACACATCGTTTATGTTGTTAATAAGTAAAAGACTATTGTATATATTTTACCCTATAAATGAAATATTTGAAGAAAGCTTTTTAGAAGATCTAATAAAAGATTTTAGATTGGATGATTTGTCTGTAACAGCCATAGAACACCATGTTAGCGCAGCTGGAGTGGAGAAGCATGGGAAAATATGTTTTTTTCCAAGTATTGCTTTAATCGGCTCTGTTTTGACCTTTGGCCTTGTTACTGTGGGCTGAGTTTGAAGGTTAAGGAGTTCCACGAGTCTCAGTTTAGACCTTTGAAAGGGCTTCAGGTTCGCAGCTTAGCTCATATTTCTGCTTTTTACAGCTAGTTTATAACCAACACTCTCACAAATACAAGTTCCTATGCGGTTCTGAATGTGTGGTAGGAAAAACCAAATTACTGTAGAGTTCACATTATGTGGAGGTTCTGAAAACTTTAACAAGGCTCTTTACCCAGTTGTATGAATGGTTCTCTGAAGAAGCGTCCCGTGGAAGGTTCTTTAGGTACCCAAAACTGTTTTTCTGTGGCATCACTCTAAAGAACCGTTTTGGGACCTTGATTTTCTAGAGTGATTTTTATAGTACAGGCTTGTTATTGTTGCATAAACCTGTATCTGTTTTCCTCGACACAGATATCTGCTGTAAAATTTAAGAGCTTTCGGACGTGCATGTGCAGAAAAAATACACACACATCCTGTAGAGCTGAGTTTGTGTTCTTTAGGAAAGGCTTGATTGGATGTGTTTTTAATACCAGGAAACAAATACACCCATTCAAGGGGGATACAAAATATCCTGTGCGTCTAATCTGTGTACATACTCTGCTGGATGTTGTTTTCCTCTGTAGATTTTTTTTATGAAAGTCATAATTGATTTTCTCCAACAGATGGAAGGGCATTTTTGGGATTTCTCAGTTCAGGGACAGATTTGATGGCTTTTTTTGATGGATCTTTATATCTTCTAAATTAGGAAATATACACTTTGGAAAGATTTCTTATAATGAAAATGCACAGTAGAAAATGGTACTTTGAATTTACCAGATCCAAATCAGTTGCTGTCTTGTTGTTTATCACCTAACACATTTTAATTAGGTAAATTTAAAGCATATTTTTCAGTGAGCTTGTGCTGTTCAAAGCTCACCATGTTACACCTAATGTCTTACTGTTATTTATGTCTAGCCATGCTTTTTACAACCTTACTGAAATAGTACTTTCACATCTGTGCACAAATAAAAGCACCAATACTACATATAAAGACATATAATGAGTCATTTTGAGTATACTGTCCTATTTAATAACCCTTTAGGCCGTTGTGTTTGAGTTTGGTGAGCACTGTACCCCTCTATCGGGCATTTTGAGTGGAATGTAGAGAATTAGAGAGTTCCGGAACGTCACTCGTCACTCTTCTGAAAATTCCATGTAATGGCCCGCCCAGGAATGCCCGCTCGTGTGTCTTTCATTCAAAGCTATTAGAGTGGACAGCCCTTAAACTCACGTCCTTCAAAAGGAGTTCAAAGGTGAAGATCAAGAAAAAGATATTAGATCAAATATTTGTATGTACATGTCTTGTCAAACAGATCACTTTTTGATGACCTTTTTAGTGACCTCAGGTCCCACTGGATAAGCGAGCCTCACTGTCATTGCACTAGAATGGCACTGTAAGTTTGGAACAATGCCTCAAAAAGCCAACACACAGTATTTATTTTTTTGGACTGGGACTTAATCATTTATCAATATTTATTGATAAGATTTATGAAATTCCATGGCAGATTTTATTGTGTTTTGCTTTGTTTTTCATACACGCACAGCAGTAAGATGCCCTGTGAACCATCACATGAGTGTCACTCTGGCTTATCAGAATTTGTTTCATTGTTCAGCCATCATAAAGTCTTTACACACTGAATAGATTTTTATGGATGAAAATGCAGAAGCGATGTTTAATGCAATGTTTAATGCCTTTGCCTCAAGGTCAGTGCCCTTTTTATGAGAAGATGGAGGAAGAAATATCTAAGTATCCCTTCTGCTAAAAAAGCTAAACAGCATTGGTAGTTTTATTTACAAATAGAAACTGCATATGGAAACTGTCTTAAATATACTGAATGTCGTGGCTGTCCAAAAGAAAACATGAATCTCC